ACAAATATCCAAAATCAGTTCAGTAACGGTTTTCAAGGGGACAATATTTACTCAAATTGATGGGTTTGGATGATGGGGGAAACTCGTGCCACAGGCTCTTTAAGTTAAAGTTGTATCTACTCCAGCAGTAGTTGAGTGAAGGTCATTGGCTGTCAGTCTTGTTTTGTCCCTATTTCCCTACGGTTTAATTGCACCTAATCTCTAAGTGAAATGGTCTGAGGCATTCTACAAACCAAACACACACTCGCACTCTTGCACTCTCTCACACACATACATGCACGCACACGCACGCACGCGCACGCACACACACACACACACACACACACACACACACACACACACACACACACACACACACACACACACACACACACACACACACACACACACTAGGGGTGTAACGGTATACGTACCGAAATTATTCGGTACGGGCCCTTCGGTTCGGTACACGTAATTTGCTCACATTGGGTTCAACGCGTCATAGAGCGAGCAAGTCATTTAATTGGACGAGAGGCATACTATGAGAGCTGATCAGAGGGATGCGTTAAAATGTAGTCAGTAATTTGAGGAACTGTCGAAATGGAGATAAGATAAAGTTGAGCTCGAAAATCCTCCAGCATCATTGAAGTCTCCGGTTTGGGAACATTTTGGTTTTGCAGTTACGTACAAGGATGACGGACAAAGACAGGTGGACCGAACCAAAGCTGTTTGTCGGCATTGTTCAACTAAAATTGGTTACGCGGCTGGCAATACATCAAACTTGCACACTCATTTGAAAAGGCATCACCCGAACGTGAATATCACCGGTACCAAAAGAAAAAAGACTGAAGTGCAAACCCAACTCCCGCTAGCATTTAAGCCTCCACCACTCACAAAACTTCAGACCGAGCCAAAGCTATTACAAACGCCATATATCCTTATGTTGCCATAGGGTAGCAGTTCCAGCAGAGAGCCCCAAACGTTCTTTTCCCCGGCCACATCAATCAGCTCTGACTGGGGGATCCCAAGGCGCTCCCAGGCCAGCAAAGAGATATAATCCCTCCTCCTGGTCCTTGGTCTCTTCCCAGCTGGACGTGCCTGGAACACCTCCCTAGGGAGGCGCCCAGGTGGCATACTTACTAGGTGCCCTAACCACCTCAACTGGCTCCTTTCGACGCGAAGGAGGAGCGGTTCAACTCCGAGTCCCTCCCGGATGACTGAACTTCTCACCTTATCCCTAAGGGAGACACCAGCCACCCTGCGGAGAAAACCCATCTCGGCCGCTTTTATCCGCAATCTCGTTCTTTCGGTCATGACCCATCCTTCATGACCATAGGTGAGGGTAGGAACGAAAATGGCCCGGTAGACAGAGAGCTTTACCTTCTGGCTCAGCTTCCTTTTCGTCACAACGGTGCGGTAAAACGACAGTACCGCCCGCTGCTCCGATTCTCCGGTCCATCTCACGCTCCATTGTTCCCTCACTCGAGAACAAGACCCCGAGATACTTGAACTCCTTCACTTGGGGTAAGGACTCATTCCCTACTTGGAGTGGACAGTCCATCGGTTTCCTGCTGAGAACCATGGCCTCAGATTTGGAGGTGCTGATCCTCATCCCAGCCGCTTCACACTCGGTTGCGAACCGATCCAGTGAGTGCTGAAGGTCGCAGACCGATGAAGCCATCAGAACCACATCATCTGCAAAAAGCAGTGATGCAATCCTTAGTCCACCGAACTGCAGACCCCCTCCCCCATGACTACGCCTCGAAATCCGTGCTTTTAAGCACGAAGGTGCTGGGTTAATGTTTGCCGCCATTCTCCTGAACCGCTTCGCACTCACTGCGAGAAGAAGACACCGGCGTCTGTGTATCTAGAAATGCTCTATGGCTCGGCTGGCTGACGTAATCACTCTTCATGCAAAGCGAACGGGGGGGGGGGGAACCAATAACCTACCATAGCCAATAACAAATAAATGTAACTTATTTTATTTTTGTTGTTCATTCATATCTTATTTTACCTAGTTAACATTTATTTATTAAATGCATAATTTTGTATCTCTCCAACTTCAAACGATATTTTTGGTTTACTGTCCTATAGTATACATTGGAATGATTTCAAACGTGTTTTTATTTATCCTAATAATTATAAAGGAGTGCCTTGGAAATATGTCTTTACATAATTTGTGGTCAAAACGTTTGAGACCCACTGAGATAACTTAGACTAAAATTAACTATCTAAACACTCAGAGAGTCCTTTACCTCACTGAGCCTCTCAGTCTGACAGGAGAGCTCTCCTCCACCCTGGTTGTAGAAACATCTACTTCTTATATCCGTTAGCGCAGCTAGCACCAGATTCTAATAACAACAGCGCCGGTACTGGTGCGCCCTCTCTCTCTCTCCCTCGCTCGCTCCCACGCTCGCACTTTGGCTGTGAACTGCGGGCGCCTGATAAGCCAACATCCCCCACTTTCATCACTTGCAGCGCCCATCGTACAGGGCAAATTAAAAGAGTAACCGGGTTGAAAAAGGTGTTAAATTTACTTAATTATGAATGTTGTTACATCAAGGCCAAAAATTAGGATGAGCGCCATCGGTCAAAAATGTTTTTTCCCCTCCCAGAGCTACCAGCGCAGCGCCCCCCAGATCTGGCGCCCTAGGCTATGCCAAAAATCGGCCCTGCCTAGTACATACAGTGGCAATGTCTCAAGATTTAGCAAAAATACACCTTTATTGAACATACAGTAACACAAAGACTACAAATCCACATAACAAACAATCAAAAATGAAAAAGGGTCGCCACTTAAGTTAAAGCATTTTTTTTTTTGGGTACCTGGCTTGTGCCCCCTAGCAGTGGCGCGCATATTTCAGCAGCGCCGCCACTATTTGTATATAGTGGAAACACTGACTTTCATTTGCCGTGCTCGCCATAAACCGTTATTGCTCAGGTTGATGCCGCCCCTGCCCCCGCCTCCGACGTAAGCGTGACGTATGCGGGTCTTGCTTCTAGACCGACCATTTTTTGGTGCTTGGTAAGCACCAGTTTTCGGCACTTAGAGCCGGCTCCGCTGCGGTGTGAACAGGAACGGTGCTTATCAGGCTCTAGGTCCGAACCAGCCCTGGAACCGCGTTGGTGTGAAAGGGGCATCAGGCACCATCATCAGCAGTACGGGGGCTGGCACCGTTTCTCTTCACCCTCTACACTGCAGACTTAATTAATAATAATTCCTTACATTTATTATAGCGCTTTATCAATGACTCAAAGCGCTTTACATATACACACATTACACATATATGATACATGCAATGGTCAGATACTGTGGACAATACCCACAGGAGCAAGTTCAGGTGAAGTGTCTTGCCCAAGGACACACCGGCTTTACAGACGCAGCAGCGGCGGGTTTCACCCCTTGATCTGATGATCATTGCACAGCGCACTGCGCCACACCGTCCATCTTCACGCCTCGAGGACATCGAGGCGCTTTTACAGGTACACATTAGTATTATACATGTACTGTGGACAATACCCACAGGAGCAAATCCGGGTGAAGTGTCTTGCCCAAGGACACAACGGCCTGACGCAGTGGCGGCAGGAGCGGGTTTCGAACTGGAGTTCCCCAGCACTCCCCCTTGATCTGATGATCGGATGCACAGACCACTGCGCCACCCGTCCCTACTTCACCCGACTTCACCCACAACACTGCAACCTGTCACCTGCAGAAGTTCTCTGATGACTCCGCCATCGTTGGCTTCATCTCCAACAAGGACGACAGGGAGTACAGGGACCTGACGCAGGACTTCACCTTCTGGTGCCAGAGGAACCACCTCCAGCTCAACGCAGGGAAGACCAAGGAGCTGGTGGTGGATTTCAGACGGTGCCAACACTCCCCCGACACCAGTGAACATCCAGGGAGCGGACATTGAGATTGTGAAATCTTACAAATACCTGGGCGTTCATCTGAACAATAAACTGGACTGGACTGATAATTCTGCTGCTCTGTACAAGAAGGGACAGAGCAGACTCTTTCTGCTGAGGAGACTGAGGTCTTTCGGGGTGCAGGGGGCACTCCTTCAGACATTTTATGACTCTGTGGTGGCATCAGCCATTTTTCTATGGTGTGGCCTGCTGGGGCAGCAGCATCTCGGCTGCTGACAGGAAGAGACTGAACAGACTGGTAAAGAAGGCCAGCTCTGTCCTGGGGAGTGCTCTGGACACTGGTGGTGGGAGACAGGAGAATGTCAGCCAAGCTGTCCTCCCTGCTGGACAATGTGTCCCACCCCCTCCAGGACACCCTGTCCTCACTGTGCAGCTCCTTCAGCGATAGGCTGCTGCACCCCCGCTGTCTCACAGAGAGATACCGCATGGTCATTCCTTCCTGCAGCGGTCAGACTATACAACCAGCACAGCCCCTAGTAGACCCCCACACACACACCACAACACAGACTATAACACCCCTTGCTGTTAAATACCATCCAACTATGTGCTATATGTGCAATATATATATGCCGTTAAAACTGTGCTATATATACCTGGCTGCTAAATCCTAAGAACTGTTACAGGATGTGTATTTTGAAAATTATGTAACTTTTTATTTATTTATTGTATTTTTTTATTATATCATAACTTAGTACTTTTTAATGCATGTAACATATTTAACATGTGTAACATTAAGCTGTCTGTGGCTCTTTTTTCTGCTGTAACTACGTACATTTCTACTCTGTGGGACTAATAAAGGTATTCTGATTCTTGAAATACTAAATAATTTGTCAGATAAAATCTCAGATTAGTAACTATATATGCAACCAGATTAACACAAGCAAGATAACATGGTTGATGCATGAACAATGCCATAATGAAAGCATTAATACAAATATTAGAGAACACTAGGACTGCCACCCTATTGTACTTCTATACGGCTACACTAAAGTTAAATAAAAAAATACTTTTATCTTGTTATTATAATATAAAAAAGAGCGCTGAAGAACTATTTCACCATGTGTTCACTTCACCTATCCTCTTTTCATCAGGATGACCACGAGAGTGGATCTAGTTCCACCAGTCGCAGTGTCTCAGACAGCTTCAAGGCTGTGGCCAAGCCCCGCCGCCTTCAGCAGGCGGCCCCCAGCGACCCCGACCTGCCCCCAGGTGAGTAATGGCCCTGGGACCAGTGAAATTATTCCACCTCCCTGGGCAGGGAGGCAGCTCCCTTATAAATCGTGTTTTTTCTTTTAAGCTCTAGAAATGCCAAACAAGTCATTTAAATCTATTGGCTTGTTGTAGTTCAATCCCTGAAGAGGCCAGTTTTGCCAATGAGGTAGTACCTGTTTACACTGTAAGAATGCATTTAGGAGGAGCTGTGTAGCACTGCTATTTCAACCTGTAAATCAGCCAGAAAGAGTGTGGGGGATGTCTCTGTGATAAATCACTCAGTGATAGCTCTTATCAACAAGGCCACTCGACCACATGCCTCCTACAGGGCCATGGATTCCTTGCCTGCCCTTTTCTACCACTTCACAGCACCTCAGAGACAATGGCCTTGTTTGTTTCGGGCTGGATAATGGCCTTCAAAAATATTTATGACTATTGGGTATTTTTTCATCATGTAAGTCTGTGTGTCTGTCGACAGATTTTGCCTAAATAGCGTCACAAACCGTGCAAGATGCAGTTACAAAACGTTAAAGATATCTATTTTTAGATCAAAATAAAGCTAAAGTTTGAATTTTTGTTAAAGTGTGAATAGATGCACAATGTCAGCCACTTAATTCAACTACTTAACAAACCTGTTGGGGGGTAAATAGGAAAAAATAAAAGTTCCAAAGGCAGGGAAAAGGGTTTGAGAGAAAACTGCTAAGGTGAGAAAGTAGTTGGCAAAGGAGTGACTTAAATATGAAGAAATGGGTTTAAAAGAGAAAAAAAGAAGAAAAAAGTAAGGAGAAAGAAGGGGGTCTTGAGCTTTAAGAGCTAGGTCACCGTCAACAGTGAGGTTCACTCCAAGAGCCCTAGTATGCGTGAATATATGAACCTACACGCCCGGCTGCCTGTATCAGGGGAGGATCCATTTCCAGGCTGATGTTAAGAGATATTATCTCTCCACAGCTGTTAAAGCAGGGTGCCTTAGATACATCCCCCCCAGGTGTGTGTGTGTGTGTGTGTGTGGTGTGTGTGTGTGTGTGTGTGTGTGTGTGTGTGTGTGTGTGTGTGTGTGTGTGTGTGTGTGTGTGTGTGTGTGTGTGTGCATGTATTGTGTGTGTATTTAGTGTGTGTGTGTGTGTGTGTGTGTGTGTGTGTGTGTGTGTGTGTGTGTGTGTGTGTGTGTGTGTGTGTGTGTGTGTGTGTGTGTGTGTGTGTGTGTGTGTGTGGTGTGTGTGTGTGTGTGTGTGTGTGTGTGTGTGTGTGTGTGTGTGTGTGTGTGTGTGTGTGTTACTTATTAAAAGGTGGAAATTAACAGGCAGAGGAGGTTTGCCTAAGAATAATATAGTAATAATAAGTGGAACACATCATTTATTAATCCCCAGGGGGAAATTACTACATCACACACACAGGTTGATATACATGAGCACAAGCACAAACAGAACCACATACAGGATAGGAGAGGGAAAGCGAAGGGGCAGCCAGCGCCGAAATCAGCCAAGATCACGGTCACCTGTTAGGGGTAATCCACTTTGTCATGTGTTTTATACATAAATATGTGTCCTAGTTTGCTAAGAGATTCGGAAACTTTCAGGAAAATATATACTCTTTTTCTTCTGATCCACCTATTCAAAAACCTCAGATTTAGCCACCATCACTGTACTTAATGACTTTTATTTTATTAGGGATGGGTCATAAACATAAATAAATAATAGTAATCATTCTGTGGGATCAAAGTCAACTTTTATAATGTGGTTGTTTTATTTCCTTAAATGAATTGCGCGCGGTACGTGAACTCGCCTCGCAGGTGCACACGCCTGGGGCAGAGTACATCTAGACTCGAGAGAAAACTTGATAGAGACCGACTCGAGTCCGAGTCCAGTATTCCAAGTCTGCTAAGTGTAAACTGTGTAGCTTTATTATGTTAAAAACAAATTAAACGGTTGGTTTGGAATTGCCATTGGAAAAAAATGAGATGAGACCATCTCAGGGCAATGCCCCTTCTTCCTTCTTCGTCAGCATCTACGTCGACAAACCTCTGTGTTGCGCCTGCTCCCCTCCCCTTCAAAACAACCAAAACAAAACACGGCCGACACTAAAAAGCAACCACCAGCAATTATCCAGTCATTTGGCCCTAAGCTCTCACATGCTGAATTAATTTATCCTCCCTGTTCTCCATGTGGTGGAAAATAGTGATGTTAATTCATATGTCATGGGGTTGGTAGTCACACAAAGACCAAACACCAAGTGCTTCCACCTTAGGGGACTCTGTGAGTGATTATGGTTACTGCTGCTTGTGGGGGACCAGCGGCCACTGTTTGTGAGAACCGCATTTCTCCGTTTCGGGGGATTCCTGCAATGGTCATATTCACTCTGAAGAAAATGTGTTCTGTTTTATATTGGTTCAAAGAGATTTATTGGTGGCACGTCTCACTTTGAGTCTAGTTTTAGCCTGCTACCTACTGGATCAAAGTTATGTTCAAGATCAGCAGTTGCAAAACTGAACTCTCTGAAGAGCCCCAAAGTGTTTCTTTTCATTTACTAAGTAGTGTCTTAACAGTGTGCCCAAATGCTTTCTTGACAACCTAGGTCTTTTATTATAACATTATATCACCCGCAACATCATATTATTGTGTGACTTCTTCAATACAGTACTATACTTCTACTTATTTTTCACAAAATATGGAATCCAATTTCAAGTCCCAACCACTCTCATTTTGATAAATATTAATAATATTGCTCAGACCAAATTCAGGGGAAGGTAGTATTCCTGTCCTGCCAAAAAAAGCACAGAATGCACTTACACAGGCTTATTTCATTGCTCATATTGTGTGTTAAATCCATGTGTATGTATGGTTGCGTGAATGCATGTACCTAAATGTATTTATTTGTTAAAGAGTTGTGCATGCATGCATGATTGTGTAAGTATGCGTGTGATTGGAGGAGATTGAGATTTGCATGGACTGAAATGCAAACACACTCCTAAGACAAATCCATGGTCCAGTGCTACTGCTGTCCTGGTACTGGGGCCTTTGCTCAGAAACTAAATACAGCAGCTGTTCTGGTATTACTGGAAAATGCTACTTAAAGAGAATATCCCATACTAGTAAAGACTGGTGCTTTCTCCAGTGTGAGCTTTGTCCTGTTCTGGAAACCTGCTGTTCTGTGAATCTACAGTTTTACTACAAGAGGCCCCAGAGCTAGTAGAATGACTAACATAATCAGGTGGTGATAGTTACTATTAATAACACAGCCTTGCAGTGTTTCCATGGTTCCACAGGAAACTTGCCATGGTGGAATTTAGACCTTAGTCCCACTTTGTTCCCTTTCCTTATATTTTTTCGGAAATGAATTAGGGCAGGAATTTATAGAATTGTGTGAACTGCTATGTCCCACAGTAGCTGCTATATGTATTTGCTCGAATACATAGCTAACTGTCTTGATTATATTTCAGAATAACAAGCAAGCAAGTTGCCCTTACAGTAATTTCTTTGTGTGAAACTTTTCAATCCTTCACTCGACAGCCACTTATTCTTTCCATATACAGGACAAATTGTGATCAAGGACAGTATAGTATTTATTTCCTGTATTGCACAGAAGAGAGCACTTGGCCTGTTCTAAGACCAAATAAAGAAGCTGGTTTTTCCAGTCATTTTATAGTTGAACAGTTTTAAGTGGGCTTCTTCTCTGTGGGCCGCAACACAGGTGCTGGCTGTGTCAATTGTTTACAGAAGTTCTAGCAGCGCGATGGCTTGCAGAGAGAAGAATTGTGGCCCTGGACTTAGTGCGAGGCAAGAAGAGATATAGCAAGTGTAAGAGAATGCAAGAGAGACACTCTTTCTAAATAAGAAACAAAGGAGGTAAAGTGATGGCTTGCCAGGCTGCAGGTGTGACAGCAGCATTCTGACTAAGCCCAGAACCACACACACACACACACACACACACACACACACACACACACACACACACACACACACACACACACACACACACACACACACACACACACACACACACACACACACACACACACACACACACACACACACACACACACACACACACACACACACACAGTGACATTCGGCCAGGTTGATATATACTCAAAGTCAGACACACATTTAGTTTATGAGTTGTGTTTATATATGCCATCTTCTCTTCCTGCAACTCTGTTTGGTCAGATGGCAACCTCATGAGAATTGTGTGATTTGGATTATGCTAATGCAGGTAAGGTGTGTACAAGTGGCAGAACAGTTAACCAAGTCATGGAAATATTTTTGTTTACAGCACCACTTGGCCTAATAATCCGTTCTGTTATGCCCTGAGCCAGACATGCGGATCCAGAAAGACAAACATTTGGTTTGGAAAATAAGGGAAAAGTATTAAAGGTTTATATGTTTAACTTGTAATTCTTTGTTTAACAGTAAATGGAAGGAATTAATAATGCCATTGGTTAGGAGGATTTATTACTGTATACTTTCATATTTTATGCTTGAAAGTCCCCTGTCTGTAATATTTTAAGTTCTTTCTTACTTCGTTGAGCAATGACCTTAGCATGTATGTTTTTCCTACAAAGCTTCTGTTTCTGGGTGTCATTGTGGCCATAATGAGGCACTGGTAACACTGCAGGACATGTAACACTGCAGGATGGCTCCCCCAGCTCTGCTGAAACCCAATATATCGCAGTGCTCTTTTTCTCCTGCTTGTGCTTGGTTGCTAAGACCCTTCGCCTCCTCACCACAAAACCACCGACCCCCATCTTTCACCCTCTATTTTTATATTCCTGTTTCTTTCCATTCGTACAAACTTCATAACTCTAACCCTTGCTCTCCATCACCACGATATATAAAGGTTCCTGTTTTATTTTCTTTAAATCCTGTAATGTATTACATTTTTAAAGTAAGTGATGAAATAAACTGTCAAGCCTTCACATTATAAAATGAATGTGTATTGAGTGTTTTCTCACAGGAAGCCAATTTGGTGTTTTTTTATTATCATTATTGGCAGAAATTGTCTTTAATATAGTTTAATTGTGCCTTCGATGGCTATCCTGCATAAATATGTATAATGTTCTGTATCGTGTACTGTATGTGTGCAGTTAAGTGTTTGAATTGCTGCTCTGGCAGGTTGCGGAGTATACTCAGAGGGAGTCATTATGGAAATCAAGCTTCAAGGCAAAAGGAAAAATATAACTTTGGCTTATAAGCGCTTTGGAGTCCTTCGGATAAAATCCCTATACAGCGCTTGATGGAGGAGTCAGACTTAGCTCTGCAGCACTGCTTTGAATCTACGGAGTGGTGTGTGTGTTTGAGGACGAAAATATCAACACACACACGGATGCAGTCATCTGCTACATTGGGAAATGCATCGATGACGTGGTACCGAAGGTTACTGTATGAACATTCCCAAATCAAAAGGCCTGGATAAACAGCGAGGTGCATACCAAGCGGAAAGCGGGCACTATCGCGCACAGAGGTGGAGATTTAGGCTGGAGCCACACGAGAACGGTAACGCAAACGAACCGAAATATTCCATCCACACGCAATAGGCAGCAGAAACGTGCCTATTGCGAGACCGCTGGACACGCTGGAGACGCTGTAGTACATATGCCGGGCCTGTAAGTGGCGCTGTACTTCCGCCAAAAAATACACCAAAAGCAGCGAAGAAGACTTCCGAGCATGGTTTCCATGGTTGCCCTTCTGTTTATTCTCCGCGGTGGATTTAGCAACAGAGGTGGGGAGAGGCAGGGCTCTTTTTCTCCGTCAGCAGCAGCTGATCTCTGATCTCTCTCTCCTGTCCGATTAGACTTCACCCGCGTTTATGTCCATATCGATCAGATCTAGCTAGTTCTAGCTAATGATATGACTGCCTGAGTGTCAAAGGACACCTAAACAATAAGCGACATTTTGACGGGTGAATTTTAGATTTCGGCTAACATGGGGGGGGGGGGGGGGTGGGTCTGCTGGAGGCACCTGCTGGGTGCACTGTCCTGCGAGATACCATTTAAATATAAAAATAAATAAATATTTTTTTAATGTTTTTAAATATTATTTTGTAAAATATCTTAGGCTCTCAGAGAGGGCCCTGACGGCTCGCCACTGTAATTTGATTTACATTTTTCGCAGATTGAGATGTTTCTCATGTTTTGTTTGTGTTCGCAGGTTACGTGCAGAGTCTGATCAGACGTGTTGTGAACAACGTGAACATTGTGGTGAACAACCTGATCCTTAAGTACGTGGAGGATGACATTGTGCTGTCGGTCAACATTACCTCAGCAGAGTGCTACACTGTGGACGATATATGGGAGAGGGCCTTCATGGACATTACTGGTGAGCAATGGCTACTAACATTTCTTGGATTAACTAGTACATCCACTGAGACAGGAACCTATTACAATATGTGTTTAAGTTTGTTTGTTCAAACTAAGGTCATGGCTGTTTGTGTAAATGCATAATGTGAGCTGCTAGAGAAGTCTCAGTCTGATTGGAGCATTACATTACATTACATTACATTGCATTTAGCTGACGTTTTTATCCAAAGCGACTTACAATAAGTGCGTTCGTCCAACAAAATACAACTTGAAGAAAACAGAATCATAAAAGTACATCAGGTTTCATAGAGCAAACACATTTCAAGTGCTACTCAACTGGCTTTAGAAAAGCTAGTCCTTTATTAGTATAAAAGTGCTTCGTTAATAGTTCTATCGCTCGAAGTAGAGTCGAAAGAGATGAGTTTTCAGTTTGCGCCGGAAGATGTGCAAGCTATCTGCTGTCCTGATGTCAATGGGGAGCTCATTCCACCATCCTGGAGCCAGGACAGCAAACCCACGTGTTTTCGCCGTTGGGAACTTGGGTCCCCCTCGTAGCGAGGGCGCAGCGAGTCGTTTGGCTAATGCAGAGCGTAGTGCACGCGCTGGGGTGTACGGTTTAACCATGTCCTGGATGTACGAAGGGCCAGATCCATTCGCAGCATGGTAAGCAAGTACCAGTGTCTTGAAGTGGATTCTAGCAGTTACCGGAAGCCAGTGAAGGGAGCGGAGGAGCGGAGTGGTGTGGGAGAATTTAGGAAGGTTGAAGACCAGACGAGCCGCTGCATTCTGGATGAGCTGGGTGAGATGACGAGAGCCTGGACCAGAACCTGCATGGCTTTCTGGGTCAGCTGGGGACGTATCTTCCTGATGTTGTAAAGCGTGTATCTGCAGCAACGGGTTGTAGCAGTGAAGGACAGGTTGTTATCTAGGGTCACACCCAGATTCCTTGCAGTCTGAGTCGGGGAAACAACTGAGGTGCCGATGTTGATTGTTAGGTCAAGAGTGGGACAATCTTTTCCCGGAAGGAAGAGCAGCTCAGTCTTGTCAAGGTTGAGTTTGAGGTGATGAGCAGACATCCACTGAGAGATGTCAGCTAGACAAGCAGAGATGCGTGCAACGACCTGGGTCTCTGAGCGGGGAAAGGACAGAATTAATTGGGTGTCATCAGCGTAGCAGTGGTATGAAAAACCATGCGGGCTAATGACTGATCCAAGCGAGTTTGTGTACAGGGAGAAGAGGAGGGGACCAAGAACAGAGCCCTGAGGGACCCCTGTAGTTAATTGACAAGGGTCGGACTCAGACCCTCTCCAAGTCACCCTGGAGCATGTTTATTTAATCGTTTATTTGTGTCCTGTGTACTGTACTGTAAAGCACTTTGTACATCCGTGTTGAGAAGGGTGCTATATAAATAAAGTTTTACTTACTTTATTTACTATTTGGCAGGGACAATGCACAGTAATGAACACTTAAAACATTCAAATGTATCAAGCGTAATAGGGCCAGATTTAGCTTTAAGCTAATTTCCATCCGCAGTCCCTCACATAAAACATTTAAGAAAATTACATTTTACAAACATAGAAAAAACAAATAAATCATATGCAAAAAGAGCAAGAGCAGCATACACAAGTATTTACCACATGGCAGTACAATATAGCAGCAACGACATATCAAGTGCAAGAGAAGATACAAGCGCTACATAAAGTGCAAGATGAGTTAACCCTGTATAAAAGTGCATGTAGCGGTGATTGCACGTCTGTTTGTTTCTCAACCATTCTTTGAGTTGACCTTTAAAACTATTGATTGTGGGACAATCCCGTATCTCAGTTGGGAGGCTATTCCACAAAGAGCTGCCTTTAATGGAAAGTACATTTTGTGCAAAAGTGGTCTGTCTACGGTGGACTTCACAGTCTCCTCTGGTTTCTGACCTAGGGCAGCATCCAGTGTGTTTTTTGTGGATGAATTCACATGAAGCCAGTCCATGTAAACATTTATAAACAAAGCACATACTTTTAAAAGACTTAAAATTGTCAAAGCTCAAGAAATTGTGTTTTTCAAGGATGGTACAGTGGTGGTATGAATATGGCTTTCCGTCAAAAACCTTGATAGCTCTCTTGTACAGCTGTTATATCGGTTTCAGGTTTGTGGCAAAAGCAAACGACCAGTTTGTAAAACAGTGTTCAATATGGGATAGAATCATACAGTGGAGGTATGACTTTGCAGCATTGACAGTTAAGAAAGGTCTGATTTAGTGGGAATGCTGATACAGCATTCCCACTATATGTTATGCTACGCACGAAAAGTTTATTATTATTCTGCCGGTATTTTGCCACGCTTCTCCTCCCGCATTGAACATTGCAGAAACTCGGTCGAGAATCGATGGCTATTACTTTTCTCGTTCATAACTTTCATAATTCCAGAGATACATCCCATAATACATCACATTTTTAACATTGAAGTCAATGGAGAAAATCTTCACACTTCAACAAATCTTCATGCGACTTCAACTGCTAACTGTTCATTCATACTTTCACTCAGAAACCTCATTCCAACTTTAAAATGTTACACATCTTTCTGACATTATTCGTATAAACCAACTTTTAAATCTGATTCTTACTTTTAGAGATATTAAACATTGTTCAGACCTTGGTAAAGAGGTTTTCTTCAGATTTTAACATTAACTAGAGTGCGTGATGTCACAGCTAGAGTGTAGGAAATCTTGAAATTTGCCTTCATATATTTTTTTAAACCTGCCATAATTCCCAAAACCTACATTCCTGAGACATAATATTTCATGATAAACGTAGGAAAACATCCCGTAGCTTGAAAAATGACAAATAATTAAGCAAAAATAATTCAACAAAATATCTCTTAAGGGCATGAAGGGACAAAAACGTTCAACATTCCTCCATTGAAGCCCATTGTAATTTCAGGCAGATATTTCCTCACGGTAGCAGCCGCACACCTTTAGTTAAACTGCCAAAAAGGCCACATTATTAACCCGAAACTACACAAAAAGTACACTTCAGATACTCAACTTCCTTGACATGCTTCACGTTTTGAAATTTCACAGATATCTGTTACGGTTCTTCCACAAAACGTTCACATGTAGGAGGTTCATCTCTCATTCAGAACAATGGAAACCTGTGATCTCTACACACCTCGTTAGCTCAAATATAAACACCTGTGTAATGGAACACGATGATGTCATCGCTCCAACTGACATGCTCAGAGCAGCAGACTTCAGATAGCAGTGTGCTAACAATCCAGCCTTGAGATTTCTTCAAATGCCGTTGCCATGGCAACACAATGCTCGCCTTGAAACACGGTTTTCTCATAACTTCAGTGAAAATACTCCAAACAGCCCAAAACTTCACAGGTATGGTAACGATGCAGCCATGAACGCATGGCTAAGCGTAGTATGGGGTGTCATCAAATGCCGTTTCCATGGCGACAGACTACTCGCCATGAAACACGATGTCGCTGTAAGTCCAATCGCCACGATCCAATCGTCCCCCAATCTTCACTTGTATATCACCGGTCCATGCCTCAACAGCTCTACGCCAAATCTGAGATCTCACCATATGCCGTTTCCATGGAAACACATCCCTCGCCATAAAACATGATGTCGCTATAACTCCTATGAACATTTTCAAAAAGTGCTCAAACTTCACATGTGTGCTAACAGTCCAGCCGTGAACATATCTACGGGACAGTTTTGAGATTTCTTCAAATGCCGTTGCCATGGCAACACAATGCTTGCCATGAAACACAGCTTTCTCATAGCTTCAGTGAAACTGCTCCAAACGCCCCAAAACTTCACAGGTTTGGTAACGATGCAGCCATCAACGCATCTAAGCGTATTATTGTGTGTCATCAAATGCCGTTGCCAATGGCGACAGATCATTCGCCATCAAGTTAGTTCAGAAGTTTGCAGTTCAAATATTCTGCTGCTTTTCCAAACCTTTTTACTTTCTTTTCTTTTCTTCTCTTTGTCTTTGTCTCTATTAGGATCTCCATTAGCACTAGCATGAGCATTGGCTATTCTTCCTGGGGTCCTCACACACTCAAAACATACATAAACATACATACAACAAAATTAAAACAAACAGCTCATAATTTCATGCAATTTACAGTGAAATGAAGTGAAAACTAAAATGGTCATCCAATTATCGCCATCGTAAGGCCAAACAAAAGTAAATACAAATAAGTGTACATAATAACATATGCATACAAAGCCACATGCACAGTTCAAATGTACTTTGTAATAATTAAATATTTTTTTAGCAACTTTTGAAATGTACTTGAGAATGTTCCTGAATGATGTGGACCGGTAAAGAGTTCCAGCTGATCACGGCTCTGTACTGTTTTCTGTCCCATATTTGATTTAAATTTGGGTAATACAAACCTTCCTTCTATTGTATGTCGTGTTTGATAGTTATGTTGTGCATATTGCGCTATAAACCTTTGTGATAATATATCTGGTGAGTGAGTCACTGTAATATTTCTGACAAAATGTAATAAAATATAAGTTGACCTCTGTCTGACAGTTAACCATTTCAGTGTCTCCAGCATTTCAGTGACTCTGGTTCTGTAGGAGCTCTGCATGTTTGATCTCTCATCACACATTCAAGCCCCCAGTGTTCATGTATCATTTCAATCTAAACTGTTCACTTTCTTCTTACACAGTACATTTCAGCATAGCATTTTAGCGTCAGACATTCAGCATAAAGCATTCCCACTAGCAATTTCTTCAGGAATTGCATTCTCTAATTTGTTTAAATTGTTGCAAGTTGAATATAATAGTATTGGATACTTTCTTAATATGTTTCTTAGAAGTCAAGTTCGAGTCCAATATGACTCCAAGATACTTGAACTTAGGTCCAATGCAGGATGGGCTTCGACACAGAGTGAGCTTCATCTTGCATTGATGACACTATTGTATACTCATGTGCTCCTTCTCTGGATATGGCCGTTTCCAATTTAAAATCAGATTTGATCACGCTGCAGCATGTGCTTCTTGATTCCAAACTGCTATTGAACAGTAAGAAAACCAAAGCAATGCTCTTTGCTCCCAAGTCAGCGTCCTCTTGCCTCTCAATTGACACCATTGATGGCATCTCTGTTGAGTTTGTCGATACCTACAAATATCTTCAAACACCACATTGAAGTTCTAACAAAGAAATTGAAATTCACTCTTGGCTTCCTTTACAGACTTAAATGTTGTTTTTCAACTTCTTCCCGTAAAAGGTTGGTCTCTGGCTTATTCCTGTCCCAGCTTGACTACGGTGATACCATTTATAGATTTGCCTGTCCCACTGTTTTGGCCAAACTTGTCCCACTCTACCATGCTGCACTGCGTTATATCAGATGCACCCTATAGGACTCATCATTGCACACTATAGCCTAACTGGATTGGCCTCACTTAGTATGCGTAGGATGCAGCATTGGTTTTTATTAATGTATAAAGCCATTTTAGGTAAGCTTCCACTGTATATATGTGCCAGATTTGCTCCAGTTTGTGACTCTCACAGCCTCAGATCCAGTGCCTGGATACGGGTCCAGGTTCCTGCTGTGCGGACTGAGGCTGGAAAAAGAAGTCTTTTTTATTATGGTCCATGGTCTTGGAATGACCTTCAATCAAACCTCAAACTGAGGGCACTTGTCCCTATAGCATGTTTTAAATTGAAGTTGTCTGAAGTCCTTACCACCAGCTGCTCTTGCAGTAATAAGTAGTGTACCTTTCTTACTGTCCTAATGTGCACAATGTAGTGACTGCTTTTCGTCTTTTTGTTTACTTAGTTTTGATCTCTGTATTTTACATGTCTGTGTTATGTGTAATAATGTGTAACGTTGCTGTGTAACGTTTCTTGGCCAGGTCAGCATTGTAAATGAGGTTGTATCTCAATGCTTTTTATCTGGTTAAATAAAAGTTAAATAAAAAATAAATAAAAATGCAAAGACACAACAGGTAAATGAACTGGACAGTGACTGATCCTCAGTAGAGTAGTGTCTAATGGATGTGTCCAACTAAGGGAGCCCTATTCCAAAATGTCCAGTAAAGCAAGTAGTGGTTACAACAGTAGTTACTGGCACTGCTAAGAACAATAACATATTCAGGGAATTATGAATCCTGTTATTAGTCTGTCAAGGGCGAGTGAGTCAGAGTCAACGCGCACACACACACACACACACACGCACACACACACGCACACACGCACACACGCACGCACACACGCACACACGCACGCACACACACACACACACACACATGCACACACACACACATGCACACACAATGATTTACTGTTAGAGCCTGCTCTCTGTTAGTGTGTGTATGCTTGTATTGTTTTTGGTTTAATGCTACCTCTTTAAAGCCTGCATTTCTTTGTGTGAACACATATGTGTACATACATGTGTCTAATACACATGTTGGATGAGTGTCAAGTGAAATGGGTCAACCCCTTATATGTTCAATGCAAAATGTATCTACATTCATTTTCTTTTCTTTTTTATCAATGAAGCTCCAGAGCTGGTCTTAAGGAAAGTGATCAACTTTGCTGACTGTACAGTGTGCTTGGACAAGCGGAATGCTAGTGGCAAGATCGACTTTTACCAGGACCCGCTGCTGTACAAATGCTCCTTCAGAACCCGTCTTCATTTTACCTACGAAAACATCAATTCCAAGATCCCATCCGTCATCAAAGTGAGCAACTTGAAAAGTTGGCAATCCCTTGTTAATTATAATTTTCTTCTAAAAACACAAACGATTGAGGATGTATTCTCTAGGTTAAACTGATTGAACTCATTTAAGTTATATCAAGGGGCACTTTGATATGTTTGAAAATGCTTCCCTAAGGAGGACTACACTGTCTTGTATTTGCCAACTTATTAATTGATTGTTCAAGAACATGTTGTGTAATTGAAACACCCATGAAGCTTTTTAGATGACACCACTGATTGTTGAGAATCCCTCTCAAATTAGCTACATTTCAAAACAAAGCTTTTGTTTAGAAATAAAGTCCTCTGCTCACTGACTAATGGTCACAGGCTGTTGCTGTCATTGTTCCACTCAGTGTATGACATGACAACTTTTTCTGATAGAAAAGGTCATCTTCATTATTTTGCTGATGCATTTTAAATCTCTAAAACTCTAGGTTCTTTTGTCCTAATATTTTTCATTTTGTTTGGGATATATATCTACTTCCTTCTAGTTAAACTATACATTCACTTGCATTCATAATGTGTGGTGTGTACCTGTAGGTGATCATATCACTTAAACTGGAGCAAATATGACCTATTAGGGTCCACACCAAAATGATCTATGCATATAACTGAACACATCAAATGTCACATTTTTCTTCTCTATGTATCCTCAGATCCACACAATGGTTGAGAGCTTGAAACTGTCCATTACTGATCAGCAGCTGCCCATGTTTATTCGCATTTTGGAGCTGATAATTTCCCTCTACTACGGGGAAATCGGAGGACACAAAGAGGGGGAGGAAGAAGAGAGAAATGTGCAAGTCAGAGAGGCTGGCAACATTTTACCTGGTGAGTTTTGTTATTTATTTATTTTTGATTTGTTGTTAAAAAAAAGTCTAGCTTGATTTATTTTATCTTCAATATTTTAAAACATCCTGGCATATTTTCTTTAAAACACCTTGTATTTGGAAATGTTATGTCTGTGAGTCAAACCAGGGACTCAATGCTTAGGGCATTTCAAAAGTGAATGCTCCCTAACTAATCAGCTTTCAGGTTGCCCTTCTGTCAGTACAATTTTCCAAATCATGACCATCAGTTGCTAAAACTTGCATATGTTAGTACATGAGTTAAGTCATGTTGTCATGTTGTCATTTTTTGCTTTTTATTTATTTCTTCACCTACAAATGAGTAGAATAAGGCAGTCCTCTTTTTAAAAGCTGAGGGCCCTTGTCGTTGCAGAAACAACCATTATTCTGTTTTAGAAAAATGTATTTGGAAATGATGTACTGAGGTATCACAGCGATATAGCATGTGTGTCAGTGCAGTTTCTGCAGCAGTCATTTCTCTCAGAAAAAATGTAGTTGCAAGATCTGAAATGAGCCATCAGACCATACACAGCGCTTTGATGCTTTTCTTCAGACAGCATTTTCGTCCTATGACGCCCTGCATGTTGCCTTGTTCTGTTCAGGGGCTATGTCTGTCCTTAAGCTGCTGTTGTTCCTAAACGGGACATTTAACATCACTTTGACCATGGTGTGCACTCCTCCTGCTTTTTCCACAAACAAAAGTTGTAGCGTGTAACTCAACACACACTGTTGTCATCAGGCCTGATCCCCTCCATGTGGATAGAGAGAGCAGGATGAAGGGAATGCACAATGATGAATCAAATACAGGCACATCTGTGTCTTTGAGATTCGAGAACTAGTGGGAAAATCACACTTCCCACATCCAGGAGCTGAGCAAAACCTTCACATGCAGCCAGTTTTCTTGCATACACACACAATATAACACACATATATACATGTACTTTGAATACTGTAGCTACAGCCACCCCCTTTATAAACCCCACTTCATTCCCTAAACACCCCAACTGCTCATCCTCATTTCAGCCAAATAGAACAGGATCCAGTCCCAGGTCCCACTGGGCTAAATCAGCCTCTGTAGCACCAGGAGCAAATGATGGTGCAGGGGAAGTGGTAGGCACCCAACACAATATATCTACTTGCTCACTCCCTCTGACTTGCTCCCTGCCTGCTGGCCTGGAACTTTTACTGCAAGTTGGCGCAGCTTCTAATTCAGTGTCCAATGCCAGATGTAAGAGACGCTGTCATGCTACTGCTATGCGGAGCCTCTGAGAATGAATTAGTATCCCATCACAAAAATATACAAGTGAGGACCAGCTCTGCGAACCTGAGCACTCCAGATCTTGTTATGCTGGAGGTAATTGACAGCGTGAAGAAGCTGAAGTAGAGGGCGTGTGTATTTGTTGGGAGGTGTTTGGGCTTCTGCAGAAATATATGGTTTCAGCATTTTAATTTCAGAGTTACAGCTCAAATGCTTTTTTATTTACATACAAAAGATGCAGTGTATTCTTCCTAACCAGTACAGACATTGAGGTAATGAACATTCAGGTATGTTGACCCTTATAGTGAACGACTTGGCCTCCCAGCATATTCATTTTTAGTGGGTTGTGGTTTGTAGGAAACAATCATTGTCACATGATTGCTGGAACATGATCCCAGTTTTATACATAGTACTTCATCACATTCATCTGATTTCCCATAGGCTGCCTGTGGTGAGTCGTGTAATCTGGCTCCAATTCCCTCTGTACTCGTGTGTTTCTTTTTTTGTTTTACTCATACTTACTCTTGTATTATATTCTTCTTTTTCTTAATTTGAATGTTTGTTTTGCTAATTAAAAGTGGAACATCACTTTGTGATGTTCCACTTTTAAGTATTTTGAGTTTGGTTTGAATGAGTACTCAGAGTCCTATCAAATGTAAGGGACCATCACACATGTATCACCCAGTGGCCACTTTCTGTCTGCATTAGACAAGATGGTCTCAAGAATTTGAGACCATTTGAGTTTAGAAATCTGTGAACATGGAAGAAACAGGTTTTTGTCTTGCAGAGTGGTTTATATTTTACCGCAACGACTGTAATACTTGAAGAGAGCAGGCTCTAACAGTAAATACACATACACGCGCATTGTGTGTATTTACTGTTAGAGCCTGGTCTCTTCAAGTATTACAGTCATTGCGGTAAAATATAAACACACACACTGTGTGTGTATGTGTGTGTGTGTGTGTGTGTTTAGACAAAGCATGCACAAGAAGCCAGCAGAGACTCCTTTACTCTGTCAGATAACACAGTCCACTTCTCCCTCTATAAACATGGGGAGACATCTACTGGCCTGTGAGGGCACTGCCTTCTATCACTCCGCCCCTCTAACTGTCTCAATGTCATTCAGCCATTCACTCACTTACACACCTACCCAAAAATACATCTCTGCCTGGACTGGAGGCCTTGGCCAACCATGATCCTGACACATCCTATTACACAGTGCTTCTAAGCTTGCCTTGTGGACATGTGCATGCTTATGTGGTTCCAATCGGATACTGTGAGTTGTCCACAAACAGATCTATTCATACTATAATTGCTTTTATGTTAAATCGAGAACATTGTTGGTTGTATTTTATACCTGTGTGGTTGTCAGGCTCAACTCTACAGCCGCATACATTTGAGCCAGCCCTCATCTCTCTCTGGGAATTTTTGAGGTACTCCTTTGGATTAATACATCAAAGTCTTCTTAAGCCGGTCTGTTTTGATCACTTGATTGGTAATTGTGCTTTTATTTTGATTGCCTTCCAATTCAAACGTAGGCTTCGTCAGGCTGTGACGTGAAGCAAAAGAGCTTAACTTGTTGAACTGACACCTCAAAGGCTTCCATGGAGGGAAAAAAATAAAGAAACTGAGAAATTATAGATACAATCCTACAGGGAGATTGGGGGAAGGGAGAGATATTAAAAACCATAATTTGGGATTTCCAACTGTCAGTTCGCAAAGTGAAAGATTTAATTAAAAATATCTCATTATTTTCTGCGCCTTAGCCTCTGGGATTCCTAAACTGTGACCTCACAGACAGTATGATTCTCTCAGAGGTTATGTGGCTGTTAGGAACGGGATTACACATTCTTGTGTACTGACATTAGCTTCCTCTCTCCCGATTTGTAAAAAAAACAGACACGATAGGGTGAGTTCAGAGGTCAGCCTCGTAGATCGAAGCTCTGCATGGTGGTTTGGGGAACCTGTTAAACCCCATATAGTTTGCTGAGAAACAATGATAAGAATAAATAATAGAGTAAAGTGGCTTTGGAGACGCAAGGACTGGCCTTTGACAGTGTCTACATCCAATAATCTTCAATCCTTGGATTTTTTAAACTATGTTTGGGAATTCTGCCCTTTGGTATGTCCAGGCAATACTTCCTCCAGTGTCTTCTCCCACCACTTTTTACATTCCCCTCTTCACTTGCTGTGAACCTGGTGTTTTATGTTAGCCAGTGCTCCAGAGAACCGCTTGCATTCTGTGTATTCGTTGAAGCAAA